TTGACGACGGTGCGGGCGGAGGTCAAGTTCTTGGCATAGGTCAAGAGCAAGAACGATGTCGACGTTACATACTGCATGTTGCTATCTCCCATCTTGAATAATAGCCCGCCTATACACACACACATACATACATATATACCAACATTTAAATGTTGTTTCTTGTTAGTTTATTTGCTCCCCACACAAATACACACATACATATACCCACAGGCCACAATATATGTATCCATGTACTGAAATGTCTTTCTTTTACCCCCAACGGTCTGTTTCGAATTTCAAAAAATGGCATTTTTAAAATGACCCAAACTATTTCTCATCCAAAAGTTTTGATCTTTTTTTCAACAATTTTGAAATTCAAAGATTTAAAGAATGTTGGGGGGTAGAAATGTAAGAATGTGAAAGATGAGGGGCGAGACCTGGGGTGAACTGGGAAGAAGAGAAAGGGGCACCGGGGATGACAGAGCAGATGAAATTATCAGCATGCCCTTTGTACTCATGCAGCGACTTCACCTTCTGAACCAGGAACGCCTTCAACAAACAGCATTATAACCCCACATGGGTTTTAAATTTTCAACCTTTTTTCTTTGGGTGGGCCAAAAAATCAAACTTTTATAATTTATAATTTCTGGGTTTTAGCCTTTAGGGTTCTGAAGCTAAATAATCCACCTTGGACAGAAGAATCCTGGCTCCGACATGCTTGTTATCCCAACCGAAGGTGTTGTCGAACTGAGCAGCTCCAAGGATCTGTCCGTTGACTTGGATGTAGTTCAGATATGTCGGTTTCTTTGTGGCCTTGTGCAACCAAGCAGCTCCCCACAACAGTTCATCCTGAAATCCATTATAAACAGTCCCCATTATCCAGATTCTTGTACGGGTCTTGTGATTATTATCAGTGAAAACAGTTTCAATCGATTTCAATAGAGACCCGTCCATTGTAACAGCTGTTGTCTCACCTGATATCCAGAGTAAGAACAGTAGAATGGGCAGACGGCCGGTTTCAACCCAGCACTGTATGGGCCTCTGTATTTGTCGGCGAACGCGAAAACCTTAAATCCCCCGAGCAAAAAGACCGAATTTTTGAATCAGATGAAACCCAGTTGAGTTAAAAATTAGGGATTTCTGTCACGTTAGTTACCCTAATGGCTCGTCGGAGAAGGATTTTGGAGTAGAAAGGGTCACATTTCCTGAAAACGATGGAAGCGGCGGCGAGAGCAGCGGCTGTTTCGCCGGCGACATCTGAACCAGGAGTGTTCTTGTCCACTTTGAACACACTTCTCGGCGTGTCCATGTCTTCTGGTCTCTCCCAACAGGCATGGTCCTTGTTCGCGTCACCAACCTAAAACCCAAAAAAAAAAACAGAATCACAGAACATGTGACAGCATTTCTCGATCTCAACCAAGATTATGGTTTGGTTCCTTCCCCTGTTCGGATGATGGGAAAGAGTGGAGAGGAACCTGAACATAAATGACACCAGGGCGTGAAGTGGCTTTGAGGAGATAGTCAGTGGCCCAACGGATAGCTTCTTTGGCGTTTTGCAGCTCAGATTTCATGAGACCACCGAACTCAATCACGCTCCATGAGAGCATTGTGGTTGTGAACGCCATTGGAAACCCAAACTTCACATTGTCCCCTGCGTCATAGTATCCTCCCACCAGGTCCACCTGCACAAGAAAACATCAGTGCAAATCAAGAAAATGGGGGGGAAAGTCAAGTTTTTTACTGCTGGGTATGGTCCTGTTCATACACTAAACCCAGAAAGATTGCACTTTTCAACAGCTAGATTACAGAAAGTGGACTGCATTGCTGAAATCTCTCGCTAATCGTGCAAAAACTGAAGTTCGTGTTTGTACGTATCGCAGAAAGATTTGGTTTTGTTTCCTTATTCTCGTGCTTCTGTGCATTTCACTCGACAGAAGCGCCAGCATTGCCGCTTTTCCGACCAGAACAAGAACAAGAAAGACAGAGAAAGTCGAGAGATTCGAAGGAAATTACGTGAAGGGCAGAGCCGTCAAAGAGACCAGAGTCTCTCCTCCAAGCCATCCTCTGGTTGGAGGGAAGCTTCCCAGACCTCTGGCCTTCGAAGAAGAGAATGGATTTGGTGAGAGCGTCTCTGTAATTGTGCTTGGCGAAGCGGCGTCGATGGTGGCGAGAAGCGTAGGGGAAGCCATTGCAGAGAAGCAGGAAGAAACACAGGAAGACGATAACTCGAAGGCCAAAAGAAGAAGAAGGAAGGAGAACCATTCTCTTCACTCAGAGAGAGAGAGAGAGATGTGAATAACCAACTAACCAACGACCAGAGACTGCAGAAGCTGCTGCGAGAGGAACAGAGGAAGTAGCTCTGCTCTTTATAGAGGGAAAAAGGGGCTGCCTCTCTGTTTTCCCATCCGTTGGTTAATGAGTCTCCTCTATAATCAAATTCTTATGGGCAAACCCCAAAAACTCACATCGACATAATACGATACAAAAAAAAAATGCTTGTCAGAAAAGAAATGGGGTTTCTGACAAAAAGTACGAAAGATATGGGGTTGAAAATGAAAGGACAAACGGAGAAGTGTGGCCGAACTCAGAACACATGTAGGATAAATATAAGAACATTTTAAATATTGAGGGGCTTTTTTATAATTTTCCTTAAAAACATCCCCATCGCTTTTGTCCGTACGTTTGGGGGATATTATTGTAAAAACGGCGACCCATTCGTAGTAATAAATAACTGTAAGAGTTGCCGATGATACATTTATATTTCACCATTTACCATCGGTGAATGTTGCAAATAATATCTCGATATAATAATAATAATTATTATTATTTAGTTTAACGGCACCAAATCATGCGGATAGTATTTGCCAACGACTCGGAGGATGTACGAATGATGATGATAACAAGTGTGAACTTCATATATGATCATGTAACTTTTGACCCTTTTACCCGTATTTTAGGAGCTCAACACATATATTAATAAATATAGACCATAAACCGATCAAACAATGTATATCAATAAAAGATTCATTTATAATATGCATTTGATTATTTAATATAACAAACAGTATTGAGTATATTTGAATTATCTGAAATAGACAAAACGGATAAAATGAAAATATAAGTTTAAAGTTTGCGAATCAATCAGAAAATGCTTGATCATCCAAAAGAGGAATTGAAACCATTTTTTTTTTTCTGAAAGACGATACAATCAAAACACTATTTGGATTTAGAAATCGACCGAACTTCCTTAACAAATCTGAACATATTCGATAACTTTCACTTCCACTCTTTTATCGTTATATATATATATATATATATATATATATATATATATATCTGAATAACAAGAGAAGTAATAATAGGACGAATAATGGAGGGAAAGCCACGGAAGAGGAACATGTGTAGAATGTCATACAGACATGTGCACCCTATGTTCATTTCGTATATTTGTTCCACATGACGACCCCCTCCATCACAAAAGCAATATCCCAAAATATATAAAATATAAAATAAATAAAATTGGATTTCATGTTCTTCTTCTTGTATGCTTCTCTGTAAAAGTCTCCCCATTATTGTAACCCCAAAAAAGATGGTAAAGCTCATTCCCTATCCACGTACGTATATATACATATATATATATATATATATATATATATATATAAGTCACATGCTTGGGCCCTTTGCCTTTCCTTCCGCTAATTTTGAGTTTTTTTAATTTTATTTTTGTGTAATTGTGTTGCCATGTGCTTTAATAAATATACATACTTTATGAATATGGAAAACCATAATTCAGATATTAGATTCGTTTTTTAGGCAACAAAAGCAATTTCCATATATATTTTTAAGGCAATTGATTCTACATATTACAACATTAGCCCAAGCCAAGGGAGAATGGGATCTTGGTGGAATTAAGCCACGCGTCCCCCTGGACGAATGGACCGACGGTGAATTTGCTTGCCTCTGTCGAGCTATTGATGACCCGATAACCGGCCCATTTCACCCGGTTCGTCGTGTTCGAACCGGGACCCCGGTTCATGTACTCTCCGTAATACAGAGTGTCGAGGGCAAAATCGCCATTCCACTCCAACCACCCGGCCGGGTCCACCGCGTCATCGATATACGATTTTATGAACACCGTCCTAGAATAAGCCTTCCACGGCCGTCCAAGGTACGTCTTCACGGCGGCTTTCGCCGGGATCAAGTCGGCGGCCCTCACGCTAACGACTTTCGGGTCCTCACGGCCCTGGGCGGTGTATATGTTTTTCTGGTTAGGGTTCGGTTTTCGGGCGTAGAGATTGCAGTTTTGGAACACGACTGCTGCGTTACCGAATATGAAATCGACCGTTCCGTAAATGTCGCACTCTCGGAAGAATTGGCGGAACGAATGGACGTAGAGAGTGTCTTGGTAGCCGACAAAGCTACAGAGGTAAAAGGCGGAGTGGTCGGAGCCGCTGCGGAGAGCCACCGCCTGGTGTTTGGTCGGACCGGCAAAGTTCTCGAACGTTATGCCTTTGGCTATGAATCCATTTCCTACCACAGCTGCATGAACAATGATATATATACACACACAAATTAATACACATTTTGAAAAATTTGATAGTTGTTGGATCGGAATTGGTCCCAAGAAATAGTTGGGTTAAGCCCATAAGAAGTTAGATTCTATGTTTTAAAACCGGACTTGACCGGCCGGTCAAACTGCGATCCAGTGAGTTTTTGGTTTGCGTTTCAGTCAACCTACGTTGAACCGGCTAAATCAGACGAAAACCGGCGAACCAACGAAAGAAAAAACAAAAGAATTTTGCTATTGAACGTGCATGACTGCATGGTCCGACATTTAACAATTCTTCCTATATTCGCATGCATGAACTTTGGATTCTTAATTATGTAATAACTCTGTTTCAGTACATGATGATGATCCTGTAAATGCATTTTCATGAAAAGAGAACACCTTATGGGCGAACTGATTAAAGTGAGGACCAAAGGTTGAAAAACAAGTCGACAACCACCGAAGCTGATGATATAAAATGTGACATGTCCCAGCACGCGTTAAAATGATTATGCTGGACCAATTTACCTAATGTTCGAAATAATCATTATACCATATGAATTTTAATAAAGTGACTGTATTTAAAAAAATTGAGATAAAATTGTCGTACCATGAGACCGTCTAAGAAAGCGACTCGTCGGATCATGCATGCTTTATTATTAATTATGTGTATATAGTTGTCTAATAAATTTTTATGAGTAAATCATGAACCACATCTCGAGAATATATACTTATGTCGTCACAAATTCGCCATCAGGATTATAAAAACATTGGCTTAGCCCCATTTTTTTTATATATATATAAACATTAGATAATTAATAATGTGGTATAAACAAAGCATGAAAACGTATTTCATTCATGTATAACAGTCAGCCCGACGTTATAAACCCGCCTATATTATTAGTCACACTCAGTGAACCAAACTCTAAAATGTCAAATGAAATTGGGTAGTTAAATGTTAATTCTGAACATATGGTCCGATTTCGTGTAACTTTTGAAACTTTTGGGGCCAAAATGAGATAATGAAAAAAGGAAAAAAGACTCACCGACGGTGGCGGAGCGAAAAGTAGTCCAGCCATCGACGACATTGCGGTTAGCCTTTACAACTGTCTTCCCAATTCCATCTCCCACTAACATTAACATAGTCTTCTTCCTCCCTACTTCCACATTCTCAAAATACGCCCCCTCCTTTATGTATATCACAAATCTACCCCATAATTATTATATTAGTCACTTTTAGTATATCAACCAATAAATTATTCGAACTGATACATACATTATACATATATACGTAAAATATTACGTTCAACGATACTTTACATTCGAGGATTGCACCTCGTTATTAAAAACATATATATATATATATATATATATGTATGTAATGTACGGTCGATGAGAATTGTGTACGTACGTACCTTGTGGTGCTTGAGTTGGGGGCGGCGGCCACGGCGGCGCTAACGGTGGTGAAGTTTCCGGTACCGTCTTTAGCAACGACTAGATCGAACAACTTGGTATCGTTCGCCGGAGCCTGAAGCAACCTCCGGTCACTCCTCGAAACCCATGTCGGGAAACCACCGTTCTCAACCCTCCCATACTCTGGGAACACCCCTGGCTTCGCCGGAATCTCCTGAAGCATGGCCAAAGAGTTGCTGACGTGGCGGGAGATGTTGAAGAGGCTGTCCTTTATGCTATCTCGGACCCTGTACTTCCTGTTCCTCTCGTTGAAGGCGAAACCGTCGAGGCACGTGTACTGGTTCGTCATGGCGGCGCTGAGGAGCGTCTGTAGGTCGTAGAACTCACGCGCCGCCGAAGGAGAGTGAAGGTCGGCGAGGGCATCGTCGAGGTCGCCGGCGGTGTCGCCGAGAAGCTCGAGGCAGTCCTCGAGGGCACGGCTGTCACGGGGGCTGAGGTCAGGACCGAGGCGGCGCTGGAGGCCGGAGCAGTTCGAAGACGAGATCATCACCTCGGAGATGGTCTCGTTGACGGTTGCGGCGATGAGTTCCGGTACGGAGGAGGAATTACCCGGCGGGAGAGAGGAAAGAGGGGAGAAGCATAGATCCTTGAAGCGCGTGCGTTCACACGCTGTGCGGACGAGTCGGGATGGGGTTTGGGAGGTAAAACGCTGCGTCTTGTGGATGTAGGGATGTGGAGGAGATGATGAAATGGAGAAGATCATGACAATGGACAGTGCAAGTGCAAGGGGAAGTGAAGTAAGACGGAGAAGATGCATTTTTTGAGAAGTTGGTGTATATGAGAGATGACTGGAAACGATATATATATATATATATATATATAGCGAAGAAGGGAGTGATGCTTCGTGGTAAAGTTTGAAGCTTTTGGCTCGATTGATTGTTCGATAACCATGTCGAATCCTAAGCTTACTCGAATTCCGAGCATGAGAGAGCGCGTCGAGGACACGCTCTCCGCTCACCGCAACGAGCTCGTCGCCCTTCTCTCCAGGTTTGGTCCTATTTCCTTCTCCGTTCTTCCATCGGTTTCTTTTGACCCTTTTTCCGGGATTACGAGAAGTCGCGATGCTGTTTCTGTTTGTTTCCCGAGAAAATTTCGACTCGGGTTGCTGATTGTTTGTTTGGGTTTGGGTTCGCGTCTGTGTTTTGGCGGGACAATTGAAGGTATATGGATCAGGGGAAAGGGATTTTGCAACCGCATAACTTGATCGATGAGCTCGAGTTCGTGATCGGAGATGATGAAGCGAAGAAGGGACTCTCCGACGGTCCCTTTGGCGAAATCCTCAAGTCGGCCATGGTGAATTTCGAAATTTTTCAAAGTTTTTTTGCACTCAGTCTCATTAGCCTGAGTTCTTGTAGTTCTTCTTCGTATGGGTTTACTGTCAACTGTATTCAGACAGTGGAAAACGTTAGGTATCGGGTCTAATTTTGTGCAGGAAGCCATCATCGTGCCGCCCTTCGTGGCCATAGCTGTTAGGCCGAGACCTGGAATTTGGGAATACGTTCGTGTTAACGTCTTCGAGCTTAGCGTGGAGCAATTAACGGTTTCTGAATATCTTCGTTTCAAGGAAGAACTCGTTGATGGAGAGTAAGCAAATTCCTTCACTATCATCAACATAAAGATGAGATTTTTTTTTATGGATCTTACGCGTGAAAGAACTCATAAGATTTGAATTTTTGTGGATGAATGTCTAAGGGTTGAGGATCCTTTTCTGCTCGAGCTCGATTTCGAACCCTTCAATGCGAACGTTCCTCGCCCAACGCGTTCTTCGTCTATCGGTAACGGAGTTCAGTTTCTGAATCGTCACTTGTCTTCCATCATGTTCCGTAACAAATTTACCGTTACGTTACCGTCTCCGACACATCTTTCCGGTTTCTTTATTTTTCCCTTTTAATTTAAAATAAAATCAAAGGCCTTTGCACATAATTGTAGAGTATTTCGACCTCGATCCCTCACCGATCTCTCCGATTCTCTCAAGAACAGAAAGAAAAACGAGACAGCGGAATAACGGGAGGTAAAACGCTGCGTCTTGTGGATGTAGGGATGTGGAGGAGATGATGAAATGGAGAAGATCATGACAATGGACAGTGCAAGTGCAAGGGGAAGTGAAGTAAGACGGAGAAGATGCATTTTTTGAGAAGTTGGTGTATATGAGAGATGACTGGAAACGATATATATATATATATATATATATATAGTGCGAAGAAGGGAGTGATGATGGTAATTAGTATATAGTGTTTATATAGGTGCGGGTTAGTGTATTTTGTCTACTTGTCTTTTTGTGGTTATGATATAATGGAAAAATATGTGATTTTCAACAGCCATGAAAGTGACTGAACATGGTGGTGGTGCGTATATTCAACACTTCTATTACGATCCCATTATGTAAAATTTGGATCATATCATATAACGAATACGTCCAATGCCATGCATGCATGCGGTTGAATCAACGGACCATATTGGATATTACAGTTTTAAGCAAACCATCTTCCTAAAAATACCATTCACCTATGTACGTAAGCCGACGTCTTAGACCATATTATATATGTTACACGCACACATACAAATTATATGTAACGTGATTAAAAAAATACATATTAAATTATAGGATACGATTTCACCGAATTTTATAAAACATGCATGGGCAAAGTGGGTCACTGATTAAATTTGGATCTAAGCACGAATAGGGCCTCCCATCTCTAAGTTACATAACTCATGAAACCAAATCACGATCGATACTGTCACGACCCTGAAGTTAGATTGCGCAATAGAAACATCTACAGGCATTGATTGGCTTATGTCTTTGAAGTTCTCCAATGGGTGTGGAATGTGTGACAACGAGAAAAGCAGAGGATAACATGCGTGCCGTTTTTGTTAACCCGTGACTTTAATTTCTTCCTACAACGTACACATTGGTAGTAAACTCTCATATTTATAAATATATTATTAACCCAAAATGAAATTATGGACGTTAACATTTTGTTATGTACGATTATATATAGATATAATATTATCTTTAATTATACATTGGAATTTTCAAAGAATATCTATAGAAAAATTGTCATTTTTCTACCAGAAATATAATTAAATGAACCACCGAATAATAAATTGACATAATTATATACATGCATGTCATATCACGTTGAGGCTCAGAGTCTGTCCTTTTCGGACCGTTTTGTCTTGGACCTTGTTCGAGGCAAATCCATTTAAAACACGTCATGTTTAACAATCCGACAAAAAAATGGAAATTAAAATAATCAAATTTTTATTACAAAAATATAAATCATTAACGACCCATCTCGACAAGTAGGGTGCACTTTAAAACTAATTTATTTAATTTTATCATCGTAATATATTTAGTTAATAAAAAAAAGAAAATCCTAAAGGTGGATGAATGGTGCGAGTGAGTGAGTATTGGATTGGGTTTAGCATGAAGTCTCGATTATTTGTGCGTGTTGACCAATAGACATATATATATATATATATATATGACATAAATATAATATATATATATATATAATATAACACAATTTCGTTCTCGAGTGGTTTACAGTTCTATATAAATTACAAGTTTTTCAATAAGTTGTCCAAAAATGTATTTTATATTTTAAAAATTTTATACAATAAAATAAAACCTAATTTTCATCCAAACATAAAATTTGATAACAATCCCTATATTTGTATGCATTTGCAGTGGTTGCACTCTATTGACAAATAAATCGATCTTCAAACAATATATATATATATATATATATATATATATATATGTAATTACGTTCTTGCGTACTATACAGGTTTTTCTATAAATTACATTATTTATTACGATGTATGTGTGCATGCATATATAAATCAACATTTTTTTATTATATTATTTGACATAATTGTTAGGAAATGTCATACGAGTCCAATGGAAAGAGACTTGGAACGTGTTTGGTGGGGATTTCCGGTATGGTTTTTTTTTATGCATATTATATTTATCCATAATTATTCAAGAACACAAACAATCTATAATCATCACGATAATATGAACATACATTGTCCCAGATCTAAGCTGGTTTTAGGTGAACAGAAAGGTTCATATAGAGCTACTAACAACACCAAAAGACCCATCAATCTATTTTAACATTTGACTTATTCATATATATATAGATAATTTTTTATATTCTTCGTCCATTTACAATTAATTTTACGCACGATTTTAATGTATATTTTACTCCATGGCCAGTTTGTTTTATTCTATTTATCTTTGAGCTACGTACATTTTAAAAATATATATCTGACCGAAGAAATTAACAGTGAGGCTACGCCGGTAACCGGCGAAATCGCCGGACGAACCGTGGTCAATAACTCACAACGGCTAGTTTCAGAACCGGCTCGGGATATTACAAATCTAATTAGTTCATAAATTACATTTATATATTTCGAGCCTGGACATTGAATTGTAAATATAAATAAATCCATAACTATATCATAAATGGATGAATGTATATATATATATAGAGAGAGAGAGAGAGAGAGAGAGAATCGGTGAACATTAAGATGCAGGACAGCTAGGCAGCTTTGAAGGTGCAGCATCCGATGATTAATCTCGAGGAACAACGCGTTTTTCCTCGCACAAGTTGACTTGGAGATTTGCACCCTTCCTACTATTTTATAACCACAAGTGCAAATTAATTTAATTTAACTCTGTAACAATATCAAAATTTAATCGGACCCTCCTCCAGTCACTCTTCACTCTATATAAACCCACTCACCCCCGACTTCATAATGTCACCACCAAAAAATAAAAATAAATTCCGACATGGCATTTACCACCGCACTCGTTCTTCTCACCACACTCTTGTCTCTCGAAACACTTGTCGTTGCTTCTCAAACTGTCTCTAACTCATCGTCCTCGAGTATCTGCAAAACGACGCCGGATCCTAAGTACTGCAAATCAGTGCTGCCCAACACTACACATGGCGACGTTCACGATTACGGTCGGTTCTCTCTCCGCAAATCGCTATCGCAGTCGCGGAAATTCGTTCGAGTCATTGATAAATACCTCAAACGCAATACCCACCTGACGCAGACGGCCGTTAGGGCTCTCCAAGACTGCCGTTTCCTCGCCGGCCTCACAATGGACTACCTCTTAACGTCGTTTGAGACCGTTAACGCCACCAGCAAAACGCTGACGCTCCCCAAAGCTGACGACGTCCAAACGCTCCTCTCCGCGGCGTTGACCAACGAACAAACCTGCCTCGACGGTCTGACCACGGCTTCCGCCACGTGGACCGTACGAAACGGCGTCGCTTTGCCTCTGGTCAACGACACGAAGCTCTACAGCGTCTCGCTCGCTCTCTTCACCAAAGGGTGGGTCCCGAAGAAGAAGAAACGGGTCGGGTTCTCGTGGATCCACCCGAACGAAGCCTCCCACAAGCCCTTCCGGGTCTTCCGTAACGGATTCCTGCCGTTAAAGATGGCGGACCGGACACGCGCCGTCTACGAGTCCGTCAGCCGGAGGAAGCTCGCCGGAGAAGGAGACGACGGGAGCACGGTGATGGTGAGCGACTGCGTGATCGTTAGCCAAGACGGCACCGGAAACTTCTCCACAATCTCCGATGCCGTTGCGGCGGCGCCGAACAACACCGACGGAAGTAACGGCTTCTTCTTGATCTACATAACGGCGGGGATTTACGAAGAGTACGTTTCGATCGCGAAGAACAAGAAGTTCTTGATGATGGTCGGCGACGGAATCAACCAGACGGTGATCACCGGTAACAGGAGCGTCGTCGACGGTTGGACCACGTTTAACTCCGCTTCTTTCGGTACGTTTTATTACACACAATATCTTACCGACACGTTATGAAAAATAATTTAATTTTTCTTGTACGTAATAATAATCGATCACAGCTTTTTCGCGCTACACGACAAAATTTATTCTACTTTTGAGATACATATGGTTGAATAGGAGAAAATGTAAATAATTTTCTACGCGATTCCCATGACGGACATTGAAAATAGTATCAATAATAGAAAAATATTATATACCACTATAGTATAGGCTAATATGGACTATATATTATTCAGTAACAAATAATGAATAATGGTCATTCTTCTTCACGTGATAATTTTTTTTTGGTTGGCAGCGGTGGTGGCGCCGAACTTCGTGGCCGTGAACATCACTTTCCGGAACACGGCCGGACCGGAGAAGCATCAGGCGGTGGCGGTCCGGTCCGGGGCAGATCTGTCCATATTCTATGGTTGTAGTTTCGAGGCATATCAAGACACGCTCTACACGCATTCTCTCCGACAGTTCTACCGAGAATGCGATATCTATGGAACGGTCGATTTCATATTCGGAAATGCGGCGGTCGTTTTCCAAAACTGTAATATTTATCCGAGACAGCCCTTGCAGAACCAGTTCAATGCCATCACGGCTCAGGGGCGTACGGACCCTAACCAGAACACCGGTACGTCGATCCACAACTGTACCATTAAACCGGCCGACGATTTGGTTGCGAGCAATTTTACGGTTAAGACATATTTGGGACGACCTTGGAAGGAATATTCTCGAACGGTTTACATGCAATCGTACATTGACGGTTTTGTTGAACCGGTCGGTTGGAGGGAGTGGAACGGGGATTTTGCGTTGAGTACGCTGTATTACGCAGAGTACAACAATACCGGACCCGGTTCAAATACCACTAACCGGGTTAATTGGCCCGGTTATCACGTGATTAATTCCACGGACGCAGCTAATTTCACGGTCTCGAGCTTCTTGCTCGGCGATGACTGGATCCTTCAGTCCGGCGTGCCTTACTTTGGCGGTTTACTTTCATGATTTTTTTTCCATATATTGTAATTTGAATTATTATTATTATTATTATTGTTTTTAATTTTTTTAGGGGGAATTAATTAGATTTCGTATTTGTTTTGCGCAAATGTAATAAGTTATTGTACGACATCCAAGCTCGGAAATGTGAAGCTTGTATACATTTTTTGAGAAATTATAAATTGAAACAAATTATTTTTTTTTGGAATTTTCATATATTTTTCGACCAATATAAGAAAATAATCAAATATTTTGTTTAATTTTACAGCTATACCGATCTAAATTACATGATTGGTCTACCGAAGAATTGACTATATGCATTTAAATTACTTGTATAATTACTGATTACATTATTAATGTAAAATATTTATATGGACTGAGCTTTTGAAATTGACTTGAGTGGGAGGAAAGGCATATCAATAAGGATCACCACAAACCATCGTATATTTATCTTCAGCCCCGTGGGAAAACAAAACGACGGCGACGAAGAAGGAGGAGGGCGACGAGAATGGAGAAGATAGTGCACACGACGGTCTCCACGAATGGCATAAACATGCATGTCGCTTCGATCGGTTCAGGCCCTCCGATTCTATTCCTCCATGGCTTCCCTGATCTCTGGTACTCGTGGCGCCACCAGCTCCTTTCCCTCTCGGCCCTAGGTTACCGGGCGATCGCCCCCGACCTCCGCGGCTATGGCGACTCCGACGCGCCGCCTTCGCTTGAGTCATATACCGTCCTCCACCTCGTCGGCGACCTCGTCGGGCTTCTCGATTCCCTCGGCCTCGACCGTGTTTTCCTCGTCGGTCACGATTGGGGCGCCATCGTCGCCTGGTGGCTCTGTCTGATTCGACCCGACCGAGTCAACGCGCTGGTCAACACTAGCGTCGCCTTCAGCCCCAGGAACCCCGCCGTGAAGCCTGTCGACGGTTTCAGGGCCTTGTTCGGTGACGATTACTATATCTGCAGGTTTCAGGTGAGATTGAGCTCCTAAGCTCAAATTTAATTTTGTGGATAATTAGGGTTTAAACGATCTTTTAATGTCGACACCAATTATGATTGTTAGTGAAGTTTATTGCTCACTCTCCAGTTCCACCAATGGATTGGCAATTACGACGTTTGATTTTGACATTTTGCGGTCTCGAAGGTGGGAACTTAATTGCAACACCACGAATGTTAATGGCGATTCTTCTTCCACGTTTTGTGGACTATTTTATGCGACAGATTAGGCTAATTGGGGCTGTTCATGGTTCTGGAATAAGTTATTGAAAATAGGAAGTGTTGTGAAATGGAACTTCTCCATTGTCCATGAGGGTTCTTACCCATTACAGTTGAGCCATTAAATGATTGTTGGTATTGGTTGACCAAATGACAGGGATCCATTTATAGGTTCCATTTACTGAACTATCAAATTCACAGTGTATTGAGTTATTTTTCGCTCAGAGAAAGTTGAATAACTGGGAAGACAATGTTTTTGGAATTTGTAATTACTTGAAGTGTATATCTATATTGCTGTATCTGGGACTATCATCTTACCCTCTGGAACTATGCCGAGATTAGTGCTGCCTCTGTTATGCAAGTCGCACTTGGGGGTGTGTTCGGTAGAAGCGAGTAAAGCTCGCACTAATGTTGCGGAAAGCCGTTATTAGCTTGTATGATTTCCATGACATGGATGTATGATATATTTGGCTGATTGAAGTAGATTCAATTGTCAGTTTGTGATTTTTTTTTCTTTCTGTTTCTTAACTCTCTCTCTCTCTGTGCTGGTGATTGGAAACTGTCATAGGAGCGTGGAGAGATCGAAGAGGACTTTGCTCAAGCTGGTGCTAAGAAGTTGATAACCAAATTTCTCACCTCACGTAATCCACGCCCACCGTGTATTCCCAAAGCACTTGGGTTCAGAGGTTTACCTGATCCACCATCTTTGCCTGATTGGCTCACCGAACAGGACATCGATTATTATGCTGAGAAATTTAGCCAGAAGGGCTTCACCGGAGGACTTAACTACTACCGAGCTATGAACCTGTAAAAGCCCTACAAACTCGTCCAACACATCTTGACTCCATTCCCCAATCGAAAGTTGTAGTGTTTATTTGTTGGTTTGGGTTTTTGCAGGAGCTGGGAATTGACAGCACCATGGACTGGTGCACAGATCAAGGTGCCGGTGAAGTTCATGGTGGGGGACTTAGATGTCACATACCACATCCCTGGTGTGAAGGAATACATACACGAGGGTGGCATCAAGAAGCAAGTCCCCTTTCTACAAGAGGTGGTTGTATTGGAAGGAGTCGGCCATTTCCTCCAGCAAGAGAAACCCGAAGAAATCACTGCCCACATTCACGACTTCTTCAAGAAATTCTGAGTACAACGCCCATGTTTCCTCTTCAGAAAGATATGAGCTGACCAGCTTGGTCTGAGCCATCCCATCAATGGGTTGCTCTTAATTAATGGGTTTGAAGAACATGCTTTCGTGTTCTTAGTTTAGTGTAATGGTTTTGAAGAATTGATGTAATTGATTCGTCCAGTGTAATGACCTTTGTTAAGACATTATCCTCTCTAGTTGGGACAAAATTAAAGACGCTGACCGAGTCCGAGGGTTTTAAGATGATCATTGACTTGTTGAATATTATAGATATGAAAAAGAAAAAGCTATGGACGTCGATCTCACGCGCCGGAGACGCGTATAAATCTCCGCCGCTTGGACAAAAAGACATAATGGACGGATACAAGTCAGAATAACCCCTCTTGTCGAAAGACGCTAATACCCTCGTCCTGCTTCGCCCACTCCGCTTCTTCCTCGGTGGCATTTTGGTCAAACCAAATTCCTCCGAATACCAAATCGGTTTGGACAAATCCTCGTTGTTTTTTCCCCATACCATCTCTGTACAGTTACCTAAACCAGTTGTGAGGAAAAAAAAAAGCGAAAAGGAAAAAAAAATGCAGTCTTCGAAAGGGCGGCGGAAAGTGGCACCCGCGTCCGCCGGCGCCGGCGGTGACTCGGCAGAGAAGCTGGACGAGCTCCTTATATCGTCGGCGATATGCAACGGCGATGATTTGGGGCCGTTCGTCCGGAAGACGTTCTCCACGGGAAAGCCGGAGACACTTCTCCACCATCTCCGTTACTTCGCGCGATCCAAGGAATCAGAGATCGAGGAGGTCTGCAAAGCTCACTACCAGGACTTTATCAGCGCCGTTGACGATCTCCGGTCGCTTCTCTCCGACGTCGAATCGCTCAAATCTGCGCTATCCGATTCCAACTCCAAGCTCCAATCCGTGGCGGTGCCGCTCTTGTCGTCTCTCGATTCGCTTGTTGAGGCTCAGACCGTGTCGAAGAACGTCGATCTGGCGATCAAATCGGTGACTCACTGTGTTCGGCTCATGGAGCTCTGCTCCCGAGCCAATCAGCATCTCCAGAGTGGTAATTTCTACATGGCGCTCAAGTGCGTTGACTCGATTGAGAGCGAGTTCATGGAGAAGACGCCGTCTTCGACGCTGAGACGGATGCTGGAGAAGAGGATCCCGTCTATCAGATCGTACGTGGAAAGGAAGGTGAGCAAGGAGTTCGGCGATTGGTTGGTCGAGATCCGTGTGGTAAGCCGAAATATGGGTCAGTTGGCGATCGGTCAAGCTTCGTCGGCTCGACAACGGGAAGAGGAGCTCAGGATGAAGCAGAGACAGGCCGAGGAGCAGACCCGGCTTAGCCTACGGGATTGCGTGTACGCGCTGAACGAAGAAGAAGAAGACGAAGACGAATTTGGGCCTCGCCCTTTCGGCGATGCTGGTAATGGCGGCGGTTCGTTAGGCTTTGATTTGACTCCACTCTACAGAGCTTATCATATTCATCAGACATTAGGCCTTGAAGATCGCTTCAAGCAATACTACTTCGAGAACCGGAAGCTTCAGCTAACATCCGATTTCCAGGTTTCTTCTATGACCCCGTTTCTCGAGTCTCATCAAACGTTTTTCGCGCAAATCGCCGGGTTTTTCATTGTAGAGGATAGGGTTTTGAGGACTGGAGGAGGTTTGATTTCGAAACTGGAGGTGGAGGGTTTGTGGGAAACTGCTGTTACTAAGATGTGTTCTGTGTTGGAGGATCAGTTCTCTAGGATGCAGACCGCTAATCATCTTTTGCTGATTAAGGATTACGTGAGCTTGTTGGGCGTGAGTTTGCGTAGGTATGGCTATGCAGTTGATGCACTTCTTGATGTCTTAAGCAAACACAGGGACAAGTATCACGAGTTGTTGCTGTCTGATTGCCGCAAACAGATCACCGAAGCTCTGTCGGCTGATAAGTTTGAGCAGATGTTGATGAAGAAAGAATATGAATACTCCATGAATGTGCTTTCTTTCCAATTACAAACCTCCGACATAATACCAGCGTTTCCTTACATCGCTCCGTTCTCATCCACGGTGCCAGATTGTTGCCGGATTGTGAGGTCTTTTATTGAGGATTCAGTAAGTTTCATGTCTCACGGTGGTCAGCTCGATTTCTACGATGTTGTGAAGAAGTATTTGGATAGGCTTCTCGGTGAGGTTCTTGACGAGGCTCTGTTGAAGCTCATAAACACATCCGTTCATGGAGTCTCGCAGGCAATGCAGGTCGCAGCAAACATGGCTGTGTTGGAGCGAGCTTGCGATTTCTTCTTCCGACACGCTGCACAGCTTTCAGGGGTTCCCTTGAGAATGGCGGAGAGAGGTAGGAGACATTTCCCCTTGACTAAATCGCAAGATGCAGCAGAAGATACGCTCTCTGGGATGCTTAAAAAGAAGATTGATGGGTTCATGGCACTGATAGAGAATGTTAACTGGGTGACCGATGATGCTCCAGTAGGTGGGAACGAGTACGTGAACGAGGTTTTGATATACCTGGAGACTTTGGTTTCCACTGCACAGCAGATATTGCCTGCCAAGGTACTAAAAAGGGTTTTGCATGATGTTCTCTCTCACATTTCCGAGAAGATTGTTGGAACATTATGCGGGGATTTGGTGAAAAGGTTCAGCATGGGATCTATCAAGGGACTTGACACTGATATTCAGTTGCTGGAGTCTTTTTCCGAAAACCTAACTCCACTGTTCGCAGATAAGGATGCTAGTGAGTTGAAGAAAGCTTTTGCAGAGATAAGACAGCTGATCAATTTGTTATTGAGTAGTCACCCGGAGAATTTCCTAAACCCCGTGATCAGAGAGAGGAGCTACAATGCTCTGGACTACAGGAAAGTGGCGATGGTCTCCGAGAAATTCAGGGACCCATCAGAAAGTATATTTGGGACATTTGGAACAAGAGGGGGCAGGCAAAATCCCAAGAAGAAATCTCTGGATGCATTGATAAAGAGACTGAAGGATGTCAGCTGATTCATATCCGAGCCACAAGGGTAGGTAGGCGGCAGGCCCTCTCTCTTGTTCCTTACTTATCTTTCACTTTGTGAATTGTGATTCATTGCGCTCTGTTTAATTGATATGTCAGAAGAAAGGCACATAAAACTGGTTTTTTCCCTCCAGATTGTATTTGCTCTCCCCCTCCCCCTTCATAAGCTTCGTATTTGTATGTAGCCAGCCAGCATTCCCTTTTATATATGAAATCTCAGTCCCAGCAGTCTGGAAGTGTTTCAGCCATCTTTGGTCCTGAAATCTGGCATGGTACGTTCTTCTCATCTTCCCATGCACCATTTATTTCTGTTCTGAAGTTGACCAGAATCAAGAACAGACGATATTTCCTCTGTTTTTTGTTCATGGAACTTTCGGTTCTTGTCAACTTTTCACTGCATTTGTCGAGCAGCTTGCATAGACCAGGATTATGGTTTATCTGTCATGTTCGCTCTCCGTATACATCGAACAGAACTGGTGAGACAAGTCTTACCTCGGCTCATTAGGTTCACACCCATTGTGCCAACCACTTACCCTACTGTCTATGTACATCCAGACAGCTTAACTAAGAACCCGTGTCTCCAAACGCAAAACCCACTTCGGTTTTCCTCCTCTCACTCCTCATCTCCTACTCTCTCGCATTCTCCGACCAAAAGCTGTCGGCCTACGAGGTTGTCATTGGGTACAACTTGCCGGTCGGAATCCTCCCCAAAAGGAGTGTTGTACAATGACCTGAATGAACCCTGAAACCGGCGAGTTCAACCGCGGTGAACTTCAACGGCACTTGCCGGTTCAAGATCGAGTCGTACCGGATCAATTACCGGCCCACCATTTCCGGCGTCACAAACCACCGGCCGAGTCACGACCCTGAAGGGCGTGCGTTTGATTGTAAAGTAGGTGACGATGATTTATTATGATGGGTTTGTGTTTTCCTTTTGAAAGTTTAGGCCTTTTGAGTATATTGAATTAAAGTTTAGGCCTTTTGTCTCATAAATAAATTCTGGATTTTCTCTAGTCCAGTTTCGCGACACGTGTCATTTGTCATCGAAACGGTGTCGTTCCAATGTGCAATTTGGTTCCCACACGGCTCATTGGAAGATATTTTCAACTCTTAAAAGCTTGAATAGTCGTCTTTCCCCGGAAGCTCCCTTTTTTTCCCCGAGAAAGTGACGGAAAAAGAGATCCAAACGGGAAAATCTCTCCTTTTTCTCGGAGACAATCGAACTGGATTCCTTTGGACAAAGACCTATGTCTCTCACTCCGATTCTCATCGCATCTTTTCTCTTCTTCTTCCATGTTCCTTCGACATCCGCAGCCGATGGGTCATCGGCGTACACCGTCCTCCAGAGTTACAACTTCCCCGTAGGAATCCTTCCTCAGGGAGTGGTGGGATATGATCTGGATAGATCCACCGGGAAGTTCCACGCGTATTTCAACGATTCGTGCAGCTTCTCTCTCGAAGGTTCTTACCAGTTGAACTACAAATCCACAATCAGTGGGTACATATCGCCGAACAAGCTCACAAAGCTGACTGGTGTGAAGGTTAAGGTCCTGTTCCTGTGGCTCAACATCGTGGAGGTCGTCAGGAATGGCGACGAGCTCGGTTTCTCCGTCGGGATCACGTCCGCTAACTTCGGGATCGACAATTTCTTCGAGTCGCCGCAATGCGGCTGTGGGTTTGACTGCAAAGGGTCGAAAATGGAGGAATCTGGGAGAAGCCCTTTGGTTTCTTCTGCTTGAAGGTAATTGTGTTGTTGTCAAAATGCCATCTTTGGCACCGAATCTGAACTCTTGAATGCGCATTGACGTTCTTCTGTATAATTTCCGTCTCCATCCAATAATTTGACAGCAATTTCTGATTTCCATTTCGTCTATCATTAGTTTGTAGCCGCTCTCAGTCTTAGCACCGTTCGGGTAATCAAAATCTGAACTTGTGTGGTACAGAACCGTCCTTGGAACAGAGGTATTGTATGTAGGAGCCTGTCTGGAGTAGAATAGTGAAAGAAAAGTGTTTGAAGGGGGAATGTGAAGTGAGAATCAGTGAATGTCTGTCAACATAATGTCTTTGTTCATGAGTTACATTGTTGTTTAATGGCCCTGGGAAAAAGGATTCTTTCTTCTTTTGTGTTCCTTTCATCCGATATGGGATTTGGATGAGAGATGAATGGCTTCCATATCATACAGAGAGAGAGAGAGAGAGGGAGAAGTATGTTCAACCTGCACCCATTCTTAGGTTAGTTGCTGAGTTTTTCTTCCCCATTCATCCAGAGGGAGAGAGAGAGAGAGAGAGAGTGAGAGAAGCATGTTCAACCTGCACCCATTCTTAGGTTAGTTGCTGAGTTTTTCTTCCCCATTCATCCAGAGGGAGAGAGAGAGAGAGTGAGAGAATCATGTTCAACCTGCACCCATTCTTAGGTTAGTTGCTGAGTTTTTCTTCCCCATCCATCCAAAGGTTGTTGTATGGTACATAATTCTCTAGCACAGGAAAGTTGTATGGTGCAGGTTGTGTTTCACAGCTCTTCGAATCCTTCTTCATCCCCGTCTTCCTCGATCCTCTGAAACTCTCGTCTCCATGTCTCCATCTGGGCACGTTTCATGGTACTGTAACATGTCAATACTCTGTTTCTTTTTTTTGGACAATAGCTGTTTTGTTCATTGGAATTTGGAACATACACCACAAGGAGTTAACCAACCTGATCATCAGAGAACCTAAGCTGTTGAGCCACGAACAATATGTTCTCGTACTTTCCTGTCGGCATTTCCCTACCTAAGCTCGTCGCAATGTCCTCGTAGCTAGCTCTATCCACCCGAAAACCATTGCTCATGAAAAGTTTGTCCATCCATTTCGTCGCATCCGGCTGCATACAATCAAACATTCAGACTCTCTATTTGCTGGGTAGGTGCAAGGGTGTGTTAGGGATAATGACCTTGACCATGTTCTCCGTCTGAGCTAACCAGCAAGGCAGCTCCCCAAAGAAACAACATTCGTTCATGGCCATGCTACTAACGACCGATAGAATATCTTCAAAGCTTGACAATGTCAAGAGAGGTAATCCCTGCAAGAGTAGACAATTTTTTTTACTAAAGATGAGGCCTTTACAATGCAAGAAGACCAGGAGATGTTGAAATCCTATATCACCTGGATTGCCCATATACTTGGCCGATTTCCACTGAACCCTTTCGAGCATAAACTTTGCTCTATATTTGTGGATTCCATGGACACATGAGAGAACAAGCACCCTCTAGGGATCCTAGCCCCAACACCTTGATCAATGAACGAGATAAAATACGCCATTACAAAACGACCTCACGAACTCGGGAATCTTGAAATATAGGGCATGGAAATCGCAAAATGCTAAGTGTTCTCATAGAGTAAACATCTTATACGTTTACCACGGCATGTAACCATTATCCACCGAGACAAAAGCAGACAGAAGGGAAAGCATAAACAAAATCTACCCTCAACTCAACTCAATGCCTGTTACTGAGAACAGTCAAGAACAACAGCTACTTGCCAAATTCTCTTCAGAAAAAATATAAAACAAACACCATGAAAACAAAGAAAGCACAAACCTTGTAGCTTCTCCGATGAGAATTTAAACACCCTTTCCGGTGAAATATCAAAAATCATGGTCGAAGTTGGCCAATTAAGCCTGTAGGGCCGAGTGTCCATCCCATCAGTGAGTAGTACAACCTGCAACATATCGCCAGAGCTACACCACAGAATCCCATGTAGAGAAAAAAGAATGAAAAATCAACCAATGCTGCTAAGACTCGAAACATACTTGCTTCAGTCCATCAATGCCATTAGCAATATCTAACAACTTATCATCGATGAACTTCGTTGCAAGGCAGTAATGTCGCTCGCGTTCATTCACATTCTTCCGCCTCTCATTAGGTTGCAGAAAGCAATCGGCATATGGATCGATGAACAGAGGCTCTGCAAGTAGATAACTTCTCGTAAGATGTTTGAAGATTACTCGCTGGGGAACCATCAAAATTAGCACTTGATTAACCAATCGAGCTCCTAGAAGTTGAAGCAAAGCTCGCTCGGAAACTGTTCGACGAGATGCCTGAGAGAAAATGAGACATTAAGACACGACTACGCAAGTGATGAAGAGACATTGCCTGCTCGGTGGGTTTCTTGTACACGAAGAGATGCTGAATCTATGGCTGATTGGAGAAAGGGGTCGTTCTCGTCGCCGATTCGCTCAGCTCTCAATCGTAGTTTCCTCTTTACGAAAAGGCCGGAGCTTGCAGGACTCCGCCGGCGTAGGAGAGCGTTCGCCGGAAAGTGTATATGAACAGGTGAAGTTTCCATCATCTCCTCAAAGTTCGATCAGCCATTACTGTAGATTCAGATGAACAGATTTTTGACTTTTTTTAACCTGTAAAAGAAAGAATATTTATTTATAAACTAAAATAATAGTGGGCCGGTTGGGCTCGAAATGGAGTTCAACTACCCCCTAACGTTCAGGCCCATTTCAATCATACATTTTCCCACGCGCACTTAGAGCGCGTGGCTTTTGCCGACTCTGTCACCATGTCCAACAACAGGCGCGTGAGAACAAATTTCTCTACTTTATTTCTTTAAAGTCTTTTATGGGCTTTGAATTTCTGAGGTTGATTCCAAGGCCTTGTATTATTAGCCCATATCAGAAGCCCATAATAAAAGCCCATTATTCATCACTGTGTCTGCGTGCCAGAGGTTTAAATCAGCCTTCATTCCGTACAAGTTTTGGCACAAAAGAAAAAGACCAAGAGTACAAATGTTGTTTTGCTAGGTCAAGAATCAAACTAAACTGTCGTTTAAGAACATGCAAATCCATAATATCATAAACCCTTTGAATTTAATGCCATGAACAGTCTGATACAAACCAAAACAACGATTTCTCTGGATCCCATTGGAGTATTTCGAACAACCAAAAACTTCAAGTTACATGAAATGAAGGTTTCACAGTAATAATCAGAACTAAGATAGCAACGGAGGCAGCAAGCAGAGAACAAAAAGAAACCCACAAAAGGAGGTAGAGCAATAAGAAGAAGCTTAGTCTTCCTCCTCTCCCTCGTTCTCTGCGATGTTGAAGTATCGTAGCTCATAGACATTTCTGTCTTTGTTGGAGGCAATCACCCTCAGCCAGTCACGCACGTTGTGCTTCTTCAGATACTTCTTCGTCAAGTACTTGAGGTACCTACAATCAACGATCACACCAGACATTTCCTTTCAAAATCCAGATTCAATATCATGGAATGTGTGCTTCAGACAGCAAACAGAATTAGAAACAGAAGAACGCAGATGCTCAAAGACATTCATTTTAAGGTTGATGGCAGTGATATGAGCCAATAGAGAAGTTGCCACCCTGACCCAATAGGGTTTATTATTGCACAACCAATCTCAAGTTCCTAAATAGCAAATTGATAATCTCTCATGTTTAGATGGGCAACACCACATCAGGGGATCTAGGGTTCAATGTCTAGGCCAGATGAAGTTTTGTCCAATGATACGGCGTCTGCTTTACATTAACAGCAAAATCAGCAGCAACAATATATCTTTGCTCACAAGTTACATGGGCATTCATTGCAAATGAGAAATGACAGCTTTATCTTCTGCAATACATAATCAGCATAAACGATAGCCAACAAAATCACGACACATAGCCCACGCGAATGAACATAGCACCTGAGCTTCAAGAACCCTAAAATTCTCAGCAAAACACTCCTCATTCGAATCTAAGTCCCCAGTACTAAATCCTCATCCAAGGTAACATAAGATCAAGGATATACCAGCAAAACACTCCTGTTTCAACATCTACCAGATATACAAACACATACACGCACAGAGAGAGAGAGAGAGAGATACCGTTTGGAGAAGTCGGAAGTGGCGGTGACAGTGATTTTGCTCTTGTCGCGAGTAATAGTGACGGCATCGCCAAGAGCACCGGGCTTGCCGCCAACTTTGATCCGCTCCTGAAGGAACTTCTCAAGGGAGGCGATGTCCATGATCTTATCATCCACTGGTTTTGTGCAGTCGATCAGGAAAGTCGATCCCTTCTTCTTCCCTCCCGCTGCCGTCGCCGCCGCTCCTCGAGCCATCGTCGCCCCAACTCCTTGGCCGGAAAAAAAAACCTCGCAAAGTCGACAAAATCGAACGGAGGATCGACTCTTCCACTTCCTCTGCGGCGATCTTAAGAATATATGAGGGCTAGAGGGATGGAGAGGGGGGGGGCAGATAGGGTTTCCGCACTTGGGGTTTCAAAATGACCAGATTAGGCCCAATGGGCCGCTTAAAAACCTGAGCGTATTAATGGTAGGCCCAAATAACAAACCAGGCCCAATAGAGATAACCTGTATGAACACGTGTATTTGCAACAGACAGCGTATTTAGTTTTAGTTTTCTCAGTAACACAGCGTATCTGGTTAGTTTACATATCACTTGGACTCCATACACACAAAAAAAAAGAAGAAAGCAAACAACTTTGGTTTTTCAAGATAGCAATGGTTGTGAAGAAGTGTGTTAATCCTGTATTTGTAAAAGCTTTCGCCTTTTACAGTGATCAAGAATCAAGAGAAAGTGAATGGATCGAAGGCATGGTGTTATCTCATGGAATCTAGAGATTTGTAGTCATGCTTCTTCTTGCGGCACCTGTTGTAGTGAGCTTTTATGTCCGAGAATTCCTTCTCCTCGACCACCACCTCCATTCTCGAATCTGTATCACAACACCGAAACAGATCTCTCAATACCATGGCTGCGCGCTAAACACAGAAACCGTATCAGTTTTTAAACATCCATCTCCTTGACGTTATCTTTCACGAAAGAAAGCTACAACGCAGACAAGCATCACCAAAGTGTCTCTCTTTGGGTTTGGGGTGACGACAATGGATCAGAATGCAGTCAGTAACTTGGGATTCAGACACAAAGTAGAGCAGATCACAAGTACGATAGATTAATCTCATCTCCACAGCTACCATTTCAAGAACTACACTCAATCTACAACTAAGAGCTGCAATGGAAGGATCCAGAAAGTTCCAGAATTTACCTCCCCAGAACATCAGCTTAGCATCTTCTTCTTCCTCGTCGAACTCGTCTCCATACCCGATCTCAGCATCCCCTCGGTACCCTGGTTCGCTCCCGTACCCGGATTCGCTGCCCATCGGCTCGATCCCGATCCCGAATCCTCCGCCGTCCTTCTCCCCGCTCCCGCCACCGCCGGAATCCCGCTCCCGCCGCGAGTTTCGCACCTCGCTTACGTCAGAGGCCCAGCTCGCGTCGCCGAACAGCTCGCCGCTCGAATCCGTAGCGACGGCGAACGGATAATCCGAGCAAGTCCCGTGAGCTCCGACAGAGCAGCACCTCAGGGTCCCGCTCCAGTCGCTGCTCCGACCGGAAACCGATCTCGACCCGCGACGCCGCCGCTTCCTAGCCACCAATCGGAGACTTCCCTTATTGTAATTCGATGCCGGAGCCTTCCCTCCGCCGCCGCCGCCGAAGATCTCGGCATCAGCGAGAGAGAGGCGACTGATGGCTTCGATGGAGAAGGAGGTGGAGCGGTCGGGGAGGCAAGGTCGCTTGGGAGTGGAGTGAAACCCATTGGTGGAGCTGAAGGGTTTCGATGGCTCAGACGGGTCTAGGGTTTTGGGAGCGGCTCCTTGATATGGACGCCATGAGAGGAGTTGCAAGGTGCAGGATTCAATGGAGTTCCGCGACGACGATTCCGGATGTTTCTGGGACATAAAGCTGAGAACTTTCCAGATCAATTACGGAAAAAAAACAGGATGAAGAGCAAAATCTTCCTCCCAACTCGATCGGGGAAGATCGAGACTTTCATTCGCGGAAAATCTCGGGCCAGCCAAAAGCGGATTAAGAGTTGATTTGAGCTGGGTTTGGATAATCTGCAAATTTAAGCAAAACATTTCTCACTACGAATATTATATTTGTACGTAAAAAGCGAAAGGTATTTATATAAAATTCAAGCTTAATGAAGGGTTTTTCTTTCACATAAATTCAAGATTTTATTTTGACATACTTTTGGATTTTGTTAGTTTTTTTTTTCCAAAGAAAAAAGAAACAAGTGGAAAAGAGAGACCACGCGAGGCACGTGATATCATACCATCATTAACCAACCATTAGCCATTTCGAAAACCCTAGTTCCCAACTTTCGGAGCAACCTCACCGAGCGGATCTCAAATCCAAAAACAGGTGATACTTCGTCCTCTCCCACTTCTCCTGTTCTATCAGATCTTCTCTACGCTGTACGAAATTTCACCTTTTTACAGTTTTATGGTCTTATATTTCCCTCTCTGTTTCGCTTTCTCCGTTCTTACATGCATTTTTTTTTTCATTCTGGTTATGGGTCGGATGAATTGTTGTCGGGATACGCAATAGCTTGGATTTTGACGTTTTGGGTTGTGTTTTGATTTGATCAGGAAGAATGAGCAGTCGCTCGAGTAGAACTGTGTATGTCGGAAACCTTCCGGGTGATATCCGTGAGAGAGAGGTTGAAGATTTGTTCAGCAAGGTATATGCGTTTTTTTTACAAATTTCTTTTGTTAAAAAGAGATGAGAGAACTTGATGTTTCCGACTTTGTAATTTGCGTTTTAGAAGCAAAGTCTCTCTCTTCGCGTTTTCCTTGAATGTTGTGTTGTGAAATATGAAGGCAATGCTATGTGGTTGAGCTTGTCTTATCCTTGGTGTTGAAAATTATGCTATGCCCAAGAAATTGGATTGATTGAATATGGATCTTTTTCCTACTTTAGGATCGTGATTGTTCGATTGAAGTTATAATGGTACTTGTTTTTATTCTTTTGTTGTAGTATGGACCTGTTGTTCAGATTGATCTGAAGATCCCACCTAGGCCTCCTGGCTATGCATTCGTTGAGGTGAATTCACTTGTTCAATCACATGACTTCATCCTCGCAGTCGCATGTTTCAGAAATCTTGACTTCGGTTTTGGGTTCTTTCATGTCATTCCTTTCTTTAATCCTGACACTTTGTGCCCATGTTTAGGAATTGCACTAGTTCTGAGTCACTGCTGCCAATAATTGTAAATGCTTATTATATGTGTTCTCACTCAAGAAACTATCTTCTTTAGTTTGAAGATGCCCGAGATGCTGAAGATGCAATCCATGGTCGTGATGGCTATGATTTTGATGGACATCGGTTGCGGGTTAGTTCATCAACTTCATCTTGAAATTTCAGTCTTTTACACACAACTGTACGTGTTCTTCTGGCAGATGTGGAAGAATATTTGATGCACTGTACTGGCCTTTTCCTTTATTGTAGGTCGAACTAGCTCATGGTGGGCGGCGTTCAGCTATGGAAACTCGTAGTAGTTACAGTGGTGGTCGTGGTGGACGTGGGCCATCTAAGAGATCTGAGTATCGCGGTATGTGTATCTTTTTGGGATTCTTCTGGCCAAGGTTTTAGGATTCAACTCTAACTTGAAAATTTTTCCACGAAGCAGTTATAGTTTCAGGTTTGCCTTCTTCTGCTTCATGGCAAGACCTCAAGGTGAGTATGGAGTGGTGGATAAGCTCTATGTTTCCTTCAAGTATGTTTGAAGATTACTGAATCTTGACATCAAGTAATTCACCATAGGATCACATGCGTAAAGGAGGTGATGTCTGTTTCTCTCAAGTTTTCCGTGACGGTAGAGGTTAGTGTCCATGTCCTTAGAATGTTTCATTTTCTTGCCATGTTTTGCTCAGTCGAAATGAAAGTTAGATGTTTAAAGCATCTAACTTTTTGGTAACCTGTTTTGCAGGTACAACTGGAATTGTAGATTATACCAGCTATGAGGACATGAAGTATGCGGTGAGATATTCTCCTTGTCCTGTCCTGGGTTTAATTGTGTGAATGGCGGTTTTTAATTTGTTGGCTCCTAACGAGTTTCGTTCTTCATCTACAGATAAAAAAACTTGACGACTCAGAGTTCCGTAACGCGTTTTCCCGTGGATATGTCCGGGTATGCCAAAGTCTAGTAGTCTGTGAACAGTAATCTTTTCATTGCACTTCACTTATTGTTCTATATGAATGTAGGTCAGAGAATATGATTCGAGGAGGGATTCCTCTAGGAGCCCTGGCCGTGGTAGGTCCTATTCCAGGAGCCATAGCCGCAGTCGGAGCCGTAGCCGTGGACGTGGG